TTTGTTTACTATGTAAAAATTCAATATACCACGTAGATCATATGAAAATTGATCTACGTACACCCTACCCTTAAAGAGTTGTAGTTAATATAATTCTTGTAAATATAATAAGGATGTAATTTTTAAGTTCGAGTATACAAGTCTACTAAAACATACCAGCGGTATTTGCTAGATTGTAAAGATTTTGCTATTGCCAACTTTCACATTCAATACCATTATTTTTTTGGAACAACATTTGTTATTTTGCGTATCATTCCTATAAATATGTTCTGACTATTGAATTTTTAAAATACTAATAGTTATTATTATTTGACTATTTTTTTGAACAGGAGTGTTCCAAGTGTGGCTCGCAACTATTTAATTTCTTTAGAAATATCAACAACTTCTTTCTTTTTGTTCATATCATCACAAAACTTCTGTATTTCATATTTATATTTTTTCTAGATTGTCAACAAATATTATAGTATTTATTAGTTTTTGTAAGGATTAATAAGGTCAGAAAAAATTCTAAGAATTATATACTTTAAATATAAATAATTTATCAATGTTGTCAATAAATTGTCCACAAGTTTGAAATGACTTGGGAAGCTTAATTAGTCCAATATCATTCATAATATAGAGTTCTGGTGCAATTAAAACCATTATATATTCTGTTCATGATGTCACTAGCATATGGGGGGTGCCAGTAAAAACCAAGCAAATTGTTTCTAAATAAATTTTTTTAAAACTTTAAAATAAACTATCTTAACAACCATCAAACCAAACTTGATAATTTTTTTTTTATTTTAATTTTATTTAGTTATAAAATTAAAATAAAAAAAAATTTATCAAGTTTGGTTTAATAGTTGTTGAGATATTTTGATTTAAAATTTTAAAAAAAAACTCATTAAAAACAATTTGCTTGTTTCTACTGGCAGCCCTCTATATAATAATTGTGAAAAATAATAAATATTATAATTATATATAAATAAACTTAAACACTCACCAATCGTCTGCTATGCAAAAACTATATGACTCTTCCTTGTATTTTTAATAAGAAGATCAAGAGCATCTTTCATAAAAATGCCCAGTCTGATAAGATTCAAGTTATTTTTTTCAAATTGTTGTTTTTTTCTTCTCCCATAATTCCTCTAAACATCATTTCATATTTAGATTTGTTGTTATTAACAACTTTATCAATTATATTTGGTTGTTTTGCCCATGAAGGATCCATATTAGCAAGTTTACAGATCTTTGCACTCACACTGGCAGCATTTGGCCATGTGGCTGGATGTATTGATGCATCATGAAAGAAAGAATGTAATATTGGACTAATTATATTGACAGTCAGTGTGCCCTTGCTTATAAGTTTATTTAGTAGATTAACAGGTATATTTTCCATTTTATAGATCAAGAGACAATAAGTATTATTATAACAAACAGTATTCTATTAAATGTTTTCTCATCAGCAGGATCTTCAAAAGAATTTGCGAATAATCTTGCTACAGCCTTTTTTGCCTCTTTTAATCCAAGATCCTCATCAAGAACAGTCTGATGAAGTTATTATAAACAGCTTTTTAGAAGTGATAACATATTAATATAATACTGTATGTTCCCTAAATATTGCTTTCACACTTGGTGCAACTTTTGTTTTTATCACATATGTATTACAGATGTTTTTATATAATTGTTCTAATGTATTTCTAGAAAATTCTTGAACTTGTAGGTTTGAAAAGTTGTTAGCTTGTAGTAGTAAAATGTGAGATAAACTTCTAACAATTCAAATAAACATTAGCTGATTATTTATACAAAAGAGTATATTCTCAAGATTAAAACTTACAATATTTCATGATAATCTGTAGGTCAAATACATATCTTAGCAAAAGATAAAAATTCGTTGCCTTGTAGAAAAGAAAAAAAAACACACAGAGTTATTATTGACATCCTCATCAGACATAGCCAAATTGTCTAAGAAAATTACATGTCATATTCATCCACATATTCATCACTTCCATCCACAAATTTATCAAATATAAAATTTTGAGAATCTCACTTATTTGTGTCAGAGTTATCACTATCAGTTTCTTTATCGAATAAATTTAAACTTATTTGATGTTCGGGTATTCATATTGTAGAGAAAGATTTGTTATGTTGGTAATTCTCATCGATGACTTTTCTCCACTTTACCTGGATTAATTAAAATTACAGTTTATTAACATTAAGAACAAATAATAATAATTGTGACAGATTAAAATGAAATCAGATTAAAATGAAATATTATACAATGTAAAAATATACAAGCCACCGAAAAATAAAAGTTTTTGAGATGCATTTTTTAGGGTTAGGGATTAGGGTTAGAGGTTAGTTTTAGAACAAAGTTTATAATAAACAAATGTAGGTGAGTTTTAGAGAGTTAAATAAAAACTCTTATTTCATTTTAATCTGATTTTATTATGATCTACCACAATACTAGTGCTTCGATCTGCAATCTAACTAATTTGGATTAAATGCGAATATTCTTATCCATTAATTTTAAACGGATAGATCCGTAATATATTTTAGATTGAGGATAAGGATTATTCAGATCATAATTCTTACTTGATTAACACATAATATACCTGTCATGATTCTGTTTAGTTATTGCTGTTGGATGAATGACCATATTATGGCATAGACCGATTTTTGTGATGCAGTTTTTTTTAAAAAAACTCTCGATTTTGGTTGGTTAATCAATGATTTTTCCAGATTGAATTCGAATCAAATCCAAATTTACTTAGTTCAAATTATAACTGGATTCATGAAAGAGAATCTGGATTCATTCTGGATAGTTCTGAAGAAATAGGATCGAAGCTTTGAATTATACCAATTCTCAAAACTTTTAATAAGTTTTATTTGTACCTCTTCCTGATCTTGATTTTTATAACCTTCGGGTATTTCATCTTGATATTCTAATCTATGTTTTTTTTTTTTTTTAGTAACCTATCATTCTATCTGTCATTACAGTATGTATAAGTTGCTTTCATTGTTTGTGTTTTTCAATTTAGAGGTTGGAACCAGTTTTAAAAATTTGAGTTTATCACATAAAAATTTGAGTTTATCACACTAAAATTCGAGTTTATCACTTCAATCATTAATAAATGAAGTGATAAACTCAAACTTTGGTGTGATAAACTCGAATTTTTATATGATAAACTCGAATTTTTAAAACCGGTTCTAATCTCTAGTTTGATCAGATTGTTTATAGATATTAATTAGTTATAATCAATTATAATCAATCATTATATAAAATCAGTAAATTTTTATTAAGTAAATTAACTTTTGTATACTAAATAAAGTTGGTTCTAGCATTATATTTTACTTATTCTAAAATTTTGATGAAGTTTAGACTACTTTTTATTAATTGACTTTGTATTAAATTATTTTGTAACATATATAAATTTATATAAATTTACTAATACAGAAAAGTATTATATAGATGTTAATTAACAAAAAGTAATCTAAACTTTGTCAAAATTTCAAAATAGGTAAAATATAATACTAGAAACAACTTTACTTAGTACACAAAGTTGATTTACTTAATAAAAATTTACTAATTTTATATAATGATCAATTATAAACAATCATCGAACAAAGTATTAATCAGCATACATATAATTAATCATGTGATCAATTACAAAATTATAACTAGTCACTATCTTTAATTTGAAACATGTAATGAGATTTGGAATTTGGAATGAGATTTGGGATTTGGGATGAGATTTGAAATTTGGAATTTGGAATAAGATTTGGGATTTGGGATAAGGTTTGGGATTTGGCCAAAGTTTGGGATTATGATATCCCAAATAAGATTTTTCCAGTTTAAGATTTGGGATTTTTTCACTTGGGATTTGGATTTGGGTGAGATTTTGAGAGTTTATAGTTTGGGCAGTAAGTATAAGCTTTATATGTTTCTTTTCAAAATCACATATTACATGTTTTCTTATTAGATTGGCTAAAGGAGCTGTAAAAAAAAAAAAGTTCTTTAAATATTTATATTTTATTACTATATTGCATTATCTCTTAAACTGTATATTTTGGCATACAAATTTGTATGCTAAAATAGTTAAGACAAAGTAGATCCAAAAAAAATTTTTTTTATACAAGGTATAATTTAAATAAGTTATAATAACTTCTAAAAACCCAGATTACCTACTGAATTCACAACTACGATATATGTATCATGTAACCTAAACAAAAAAGTACAAATTTGTATAGAAGCCGTGAAATATACAGGTTATTTGTCTGAACTTTTGGAAGCAACCTTGACTGATTCGGTTTAGAAAATTGCAAATCTGACTATTATGATGCTGCAAAATACCTGCATATTTCATGGCTCATAATACAGATTAGGGGTATATGATTTTCAGGTTTATAAACAAACTAATTTATTAAGAGTTTAAATAATTAAATTATTAAATAGTAATGTAATCATCATAGTGCAGTAAATTAAGATCAAATAAAAGGCTATAAAGCTCTTGCGTTCTTTATTTATTTTATTTATTATTGTGAAATTCTAAAAAACAATTTCAGTCCACATTACAACAAAGTGGTATATTACAACCAAAATTTGCTTCAGTTTGGTAATTTACAACTCATTTTAATTTTTTTTTGGATCATCAACTATGAACACCACTGACATGCTTCCTGATTTTTCCTCCATTCTACAAGGTGGTTTCCAGGTTCCAACCAACTATCAGAGAGCTTAAAATGCTTAGTTATTTTTGGCCTTTTCAATTCTTTTTTTTTTTTTTTCTTTTTTTTAATGCTATTTCTTAATTAAACTTTACCAGTATCATTGGCAAAGTTTACAAGAGCCCAAACAAGCTCAAGACAGAATTCTCTATATTTTTGTGTTGATTCTAAGGTTCTGGTAATGTGGTAAGAGTTGATGATTGTGGTGTCTAGCAACCAAAAAAACAGCGGTATCCAATTTCTTTGTATCATTTTTTGGGTGCTGTAATATAATCTTAGTTAATCTGCCACATCCACACTATTTATATTATTATTGTAATCATCAATTATCTTTGGAATTTTCAAAATTTTTTTGAATTTAGATCCAAATATGGTATGCACCTAGTAAATAGTATTAACTGACCCAAAAAAAAACAAAAAAAAAAAACCAAAAGACTTTAGATACATTGGTGCTTGTTTTTCTTGGTAGTCATCTTTCTTATATTACTTCTCATTCTTCACCAACAAGACTATAGATTGTTGATAACATTATAACAGGCCTATTATCTTGCCAAAAAAAAGCTAAAACACTATTTACTACCACCCCAGAATGAACATCCTAGTCAAGTTTAACATTTTTATCCACTCTTAACTTTTTTGAAAATCTAGATAAATTTTTTCGTACAGTTCTATAGGTGCTAATTCCAATTTGCCAAAGATACTGAAAAAGAGCAATGCTGGAAAAATAGTTATCCATAAATACATTGTATAGAAATTGTTGGTATGGAAGTTGCTCAATAAGAAGGAGAACCAGATTTCCAATTTAACTAAGACCTCTAACTTTATTGGTATTACTTGGTGAAACATGAGACGTTGGTAAAAAAGTATATGTATATCCTGCATAACAGAGTGATAAAATCTTGAATCCCTCTAGTATCAGTTTGTTTTTTATTCAAATCATATGAATGCTTTTGCCAGAAAAACGGACCATCATTTCATCAATTGAGACTTTCAAATTTGGTATATAAAGATGTTTTGAAGTATCTCGAATGTGGGAGAGCAATGGCTTCAATTTCTTAAAATAATTATCAATCTCTTTTGCTAGGAGAAGACATGCAAAAACCTTTTAATTTGCTCAAAGTGAAACAATGATATTTGCTTTGAAATATGATAGACAGAGAGCTTTGGGTCTTCATTCCAATACTGGTCAAGAGAAGGTGACTTAAAAAGTCCCTGATAGATAACAAAAGCAACACAAATAATCAACTCTTTACATGTTAAGTCTTGCATTGCCTACTAGCAGCACTTGCATTCTTAATCAATGCATACAAATTCGTGTTAACAACCATTCCATCCAATATAGTTGTTGTAAAAAAAAGAAAAAAATGTTAATTGGCTTAACCACACCATTATTAAGGTCAAACGGTAACCGAGCAGATGTATGGCGTAATGGTCTTAAATGAGCAAAAAGCTCAAAATCTGATAGAGGTGGTGGAAGCTCTTGTTGCATAGTTTTTGCTGTTTTTTTTTTTTTTTGTAGGTCTTTTCGTGTTTGATTCTATGGTTTCTTTGTCTTTACTGCTTTCTAAATTCAGATTTTCTGGTGAAAGATTAAGAGTGGTTCATATTCTTCTTCACTGTCAACATTTGTTTTTATCTCAAGGGGAGTTAAACATGAAGACAACATTCTTGACCTGGCCATAGAGAATAACTCAGCTGCAGGTATAATAGACATACTCAGTTTTTTTTTTTTTTTTTTTTTTTTTTTTTTGAAAGGTATTTGTCATTTAAGTCTGCAAGTAATTATTCATATCTCTTTATTTAAAAATAGTTTGCATTACTTAATGCAAATAATTCATTTAATTTCTAGTGACTATAATGTTTATTTAATTAGAAAATGAATTTAGCCATGCAAGAGATGAATAATTATCAAGTTACCCAAATGCACAATTTTGAATTATGTGGTATAACGATTGCGTTAGAAGTAGAAGATACTATGAATGATATGTATGATCGACATATGGCATACTTTAATTCTAGCTTATAAACAGTGGGTCAAAGCTTAATAAAATTTTTCACAGTTACCTAAAAATAGGTTGTAAAAAATTTTAGCATACAAATTTGTATGCTATATGGTTTAAGGAATAATTTAATATTATATCTGTTATATAGGGTTCTAAATACTTAAAAGTCAATTCAAGTTCTGTATCTTCAGTAATCTGAAATGGTTAGTTGTATTTAATAATCCATTACTTGATAAAATTATTTAATTCATCTTTACTGAAAGGTTTATGGGGATTATTATTAACCTAATAAATATAATCATATCTTAAGTAAATTGTATCTTTTTAACTATTGCATATTTTCAAAACTTACATTATTGTTATTTAACATATTAATAACAGAAGTACTGCCTTGTCTTTTTACATCCAATTCTTTTAACTTAGGTACTTTTTTCTTATGCTGCTTAAGATGCTTTTTAAGATTTGATATTGATCTATCTTGATATATTAACTTTGTCTTACAGAATTCATATTGCACAAAGCTATTTTCTTTTTTAAAATATAACTATACAAAAGATCTGTAATACAAACAAATATAAGTAAAACATTTTAAATAAAAAAAATCCTTTTTTGAAAAGGTTTTATTTTATCTAATAGGTTTGTTACTGGCTTGATATATTTTACCAACTTTGGGTTTATCCTAGTAAGTAGGTATTGATTCATATTCTTCATGTCTATCTGAATAGACTAGTATTGGTTTACAATCTTCAGGCCTACCTGAGTAAGTATATGCTAGTTTATAATCTTTAGACTTGTTTAAGTAAGTATAGACTGGTTCATAGTCTTTAGTATAATAAGATATAGATAAAGTTGACATTGCAATTACTAGCTTATCCCTTAAACTATAGACAATTCCAGGCAAATTTGCCTGGAAAATTGCTATAAATTTGTTTATGATTTACTTTTTT